ACCTTTAAGCGACCCCGACAATCTTAATTTCACACGTATATCAAACCGGAGTTCTACAATCCGGGACCATAGTAGAAAAATTGCACAATGAACGGTAAATGCAATACGAGATCTCAGCCAAGAAATCTGCTTAGATACGCGATACCTATACGCGACCCCACCAATCTTAATTTCACGGATGTCACTGCTCTGGAGTCCTAGAGTACGGAACCATAGTGTGAAAATTTCTCGCTTTGCCAAAGAACGTTGTTTAATGCGATACGAATTCATTTGAGTGCAGAATAGAGTATCAGTATTGTGCAGTGCTTGAACCAAGGAATCTGCTTAAGACCGGTGACTTGCAAGCGGGCTCAATTTTACTGTCTTAACACCATGGATGTGATGTTCTGGACAATTGTTCAATTTGCCAATAAACTTTTTGTGCGATGTGAGCTTATTTTGTGGTAAAATATTGTATCAAATCTTAACCAGGAAACCTTTTGACAATGAGGTGCCCCAAATCCCAACAAGTTATAAATTTTTATGGACTTCATGTTCTGAGATCCGTGAAGTGGGGTCGGGACTGGGAAAATGATTGCCAGCGTTGCCAATAATTCTTTAACACCATAAGAGTTCATCTGGGCGCAAAATAATGTATCTTATCTTTGGCAAGAAACCTGCTTTTAAGAATAACGCACCCAAATTCCAACAGTCTTATTCTCATGGATATCACGCTATGATAACCTTGAATTCGAGGTGAGAGTGGGCAAATCTGCTCGCGTTGCTAATAAACGTATTGTGGCACATGAGCCGCATTTCGGACACTTTGCACGGCACTTACGATGTATTTCAAACCGTAACGGTCGTTTAACAATCGACTTCATGATTGGACGACTTGTTACTGGGTGTGAGGGCTCTGTCCAAGGTCACAGCCAATCGGAAGGAGATATTCCTCTTTTTGGAATGGACATTGAACTGCTAACGCCATCTCCCTCTATATTGTGATGTTTGAATGTCCATTTATAGATCTATACGTAGATACAAGCAGCCAAGCAGTTAAAAGGTAAAACTGACTGAATTGTGTAATTTTAGGCAAGTTTTGAAACCAATAAAGCTAAATAGAAAGGTATGAGGAGGCCCTATATATACAAGAACTAAAAGTTAACATCCTCGCACAAAATAACACCCTTGCCAAATAACACTATATTTAGTAAATATTGCTAAAACGTGTACATTATTAGCAACAAACCAGTCAGAATATTAATGCTAAGTTTGCAGTGTAAGACAGCTTGGTAATCTGGTTGACGATTTACCTAATGAGCAGTGTATTTCTTTGTGCTGTTCATGGAATGAAAGACCTTTGTTTGAAGCTGATACAGAACTTCTGAAGCCGCCGTCTCCGTGTAAATAGGATCATAGTACCTGCGGTCCCGCAGTTCCCACGTGCGGCTGTGCGACCTGTGCATGTACATGTACATGTAACCTCCGTCGTGACGGTCTTCTTCGCCTCCTGTGTAGACTTTTTAGCGGCGTGCGTTTGTTTCTCTGCGCGTGGCGGTTTCTCCGGTATTAGGTGAGGGCTGTGCCGGGGACAGCTGTATATCGACCGCTTGGCAATACTGCTATCTCAATAGCCCTCACCTCAAATAGGAACTGCCACGCTCATAGAAACAATCCCAGACCACCAGTAAAGTCTGCACATGAGGCTACAGTCTTTTGTTGTTACTCCAACGTACGCAAATAGCCTAGATGCCAGAACCATAGCACACTGTGCCCAAAGTAATATCCCTGCATGCACACTTTGGGCCCAGTGTGCTATGGGTCTGGCATATCCCGGCTACAACTCAAAGCGAGTTAAGTATTGCTCATAACGTGTATATCTGTTTTTTTTGACGACGTGCAAGGGGTGAAGTGTGCCATCGCTGATCATGATTGCCTTTTGTTGTTTTAGGCACAGTTAAGGCAACTGTACATGTGCGTGGCCTCGTGATGGCGATTTTTCTCACGTTACATAGGAACGTTACATAGCACTTTCACTTCATATAGATATCACGATACAGCTGCACTCACTTTCACTTGTACCTCATCTATTGAAAACCAGGCTATGATAAGGAATGATTTCATTACACCAAATTTGATATATTCTATATATGTTTTAATCAAACATGTTGAAAATTTACACCCAATGTTTAGTGTTGCATCTGTACAGAAAATATGGTAAGTAATGTGGCGACAAAATATTTCTTTACAGCTGCTATCGAAGTTTTGAAGCCATCCTCTCGCTATCAGATTTATTTACCGGGTTATAACCTTTCAAATTCGGCTTTCCACAGAAGGATTTCAGCATCAGAGCCCGCAGATTATTCTCTGGACATGCGGTCTTCTTTTGTGGTCGCATGCCAAGGCGCATGCCCTGTAGAGCCAGGTTCCCCACGGCCCGACTGTTTTTAGACTTGCGTGAAATAACTCCACACACGCCCCGCTGGAACTGCAGATTTAAAGGTTACACACAGAGTAATCCTGCAAACGGTAAAAGTTGATAGACTTTTTCATCAGTTTGATTCAATCATAGCTCATGGGTCGTGGAAGACGGCGTTTTATTAGCCTCTACCAGGCTTCGGGAAGCGGCTGGAAAAAGTAGAAATCGGCCAAATAGAGAGAGAGTATGCCGGGGGAGTTGGTCTGCTGAAGAGAACAGTCCCGAAGCGGGAACCGCAAACTGTTAACGTTCTCTCCAACAGACAAACTCCCTTGGCATGCTATCTCTCGATTTCTACTCTTTCCAGCCGCCTCTCGAAGTCTGGTAGAGGCTAGCGATTTACATGCACAAGCGTAGCCTGGGTGCCACCCGATTTGTAACGGCAATCCAGAAAAAATTGGATGGCTAGCACAAGCACTCTTTCAAACGGTGTAACAGTTTTTGGTACACAATAGCATTCTAAGGAAGAGTTTTTTTTTAATTTCCCACCTGGGTCACAGCAGTCAGGCACGAAAGCCTTAAAACCCTTTCTACGCCGTCTGTGGTCCAATTAGTGCAACCTCTGCATAAATTCTCACCTGTCTACCTTTTAAATAGGCAGTAAGCTTAAAGGCTTGGGAAAACCCATTCCTGTGATATAATTACCTGTGATATTTCAGTTCAGGTCAGCTAAAAAATATAATACCAAGCTGATGAAGCTAGCTATTCACAATTTTTTTTCCTTTGAAATGAAGTCATTAAAGTTTTTAAACTGATTATAAAACCGTAATTGTTTGCTGAATAATAGCACCCGATCTAGGGTTTCTACAATGTAGATGGCGTCATTGCAAAATAAGATTTCAAGAAAGACTGCAGTTACACCACATATCACACTACAGTACCTTTTTCCGGGCCTCCACTCCGCTTACTAACCACATCAGACACTTTTATGGCGAATTCGCCAATATTTCTGCCGACAAGGTAATCACAGTTAAGCCATACTCTTCTCTCCCTGTCGTGGGTCCTCTGGTGCAGAATCTAAACATGAGCCACTGGGGGGATCAATGAGAAATCGAAGATTCCACACATCCGTAAATATTCATATAGTAATATATAGTTGTTATGGATGTCCTGTTTTATTCGTTATTTTAAACTTCTCGCTGATTCTGTGCACATCCCACTGTCACTTCCTCCCAGTCTACAGGAAGAGTCGGAAGACCACTTTAACCTCAAATTCATGATCAGCCTTCCTGTCAGTCTGTGGTTATAGCATTCCCCTCTCACTTCCTCCCAGTCTACAGGAAGACCATCTTGACCTCCAATTCAGCCTTCCTGTCAGTCTGTGGTTATAGCATTCCCCTCTCACTTCCCACAACTCCACTGTATTCAAACGGTGACTTTAACTATGTCCTGAATATGCCTGAGAAAGTGTACAGCATGCCAACCTTCTAATTCCATCTTGTCCTCTTACTATATGCTTACTTTAATATATATGAGAACCAGGGGAATAATTTGGCGTGGCCAAACCTTGTCCAAGTCCTTCAACTCGATACTTCTGCGCAAGGGCCGGTGCTCAGTCCCTCGTAAAAATGGTCTCATTTGCACAAATTGTGTATTCCCCTGACAACAATTTTAAGGACCAACAATGCACCGAAATTTGGTTCAAGGCATCTTGCGAATTTCTCTCTGGAGCACCCGTGATAAAATGAATGACATTACTAACGTAATTCTTAATTTAGTTTCCCACACGTCTCCTCCTTGACCCAAGTTGTTGAGCCAAGTGGGAATGACTTCGCGACAAATTTGAAAATCAATCATAATCAGAAATCTGGTTCAAGGTCTGCATAACGAGGATTCATGTTGGATTTGGAGCATCCTTGGAAAGATGAAGCGCACTTCCTAAGTGTGTGCAGACTGCACCTATGATGACAGTTTGTACTGGGAGCTTCCGTTGAAGCACTATTGACAGGTTTACATAAAACAAAATGGCTCTTACAGGTGGTGGAGATTTGAGTGCCATTGATGGGCTGTCCCTTACATAAATCACTTCTAGAAAATGTCTGAAGAAACACCACATTGTGTGTTCCCTTATTTCATCTTGCTTGGCTTTCATCTTATTTGTCTGGAAACCAACAAAATGGATTGCTGTGGCTTAACCAATGTTTTCACACAAAGATGTTATGTAAATCACTCCCAGTAAAGTGTTAGATGATACCATGGAGAGAAGTCTCTGTCACTGTTTGAATTTATCCAAGCGAGAAATTATCATGACTGAGGGTCTCCTTTCCATCACTTAGAGGCACTAACAAGATATCTATTTTCTTCTTTTATCATCTTGTACTCGATGGGCACATTTCCAAGGCAAGTTTTGTATGTCTAAAATTTCATCCACTCCTGATTTGTGCAACACTTACAAGATAAGTCATGATGTGTGCACATCTACAATAGCCTTAGTTATTGTTACCAACTGAAGGATGTTATATAACCCCCTTGTTGTTGTCTTGTAAAGTGTTACCTATCTTGTAGAATGCAATATAAATGAAACAACTTGCTACATATTTTGACACAATTCATTGTTATCATTATACTATAAGATACATCTCATAATTTGCTCAAACAGCAGCATTTCTGTTTGATTGGGCTGCGAACGATCTCCAATTACGAACAAAAATGTCTGATGAAAATGTCAACTTCAACACAAAAATGGCTCCCCTCCCTGCACACATGTTGTCAGGTTCTTTGCTCACTCCTGCCAGTATAATGAGATGATACACCCACTGAGCGCCTGCCTAATGCAGCAGCATGCACGCCGACCCCTCCCCGACCCTTGCACTCAGCTGCTTTTACCGAGTCAGCGTGCAGGGAGCTGTTTGTGATCAGCCTTACAAGACTTGACGGCAGGTTTCCACTTGGATTACATATTGGCAGGGACTGCAACAACGCATTCTTTAAAAAAAAAACACCTAAAAAATACATAAAAATGCATCTATTATCTGTCCGGTGTAAAAGACATAGACATACTTAGCACTCTGTGTCTTTTAAGTTAAAACTTTATCCCGAAATTCAATACTTTATAAATGCAAAAATGTATATTACTTTATAAAATGTATACTACTGTATTACTGTAACAGCAACTTTCAATTTCCATGTACAGCTACTAGTAGTAAATATAGCCCAAGAAGACTTTGAATACTGTATCTTATCTTGTATTACAAACGTAATATGCTATGTACATTTGAAAATATCCAAACTGAAAATGACCAGAGTGTAAAACTACAACTGAGAACAGAAAGGCGCTACTTGTGGAAGTACTTCTGGGTGTTGGTCATGCTACTTGTGCTATAGGCAGGAAGTGTTGGTAGTAGTTCCGGGTCAGGTCAATCATGAGGTCCTGGGTACACTCAGGCAGCTCACCTGCATACAGGCCTGTAAACACATCAACATGGACAAGAAAATTATTGAGGCCAAGGAAAAATAATGTTGTGTTTCCTGCTTCAGTCCTGAGAAAATTAGGGTCAGCAGGTCTTATCTTTGCTTTTGTTTAGACTTTCTCTAGTGATACAACTTATACAATACAATTTAACATAAGTAAAACTTGCATGAGGACACTAAAGTCTTATATTTTCAATGTCAATGTTGGAAAACTGCTTGTACAATGTTTCATTACAAGAAAAGGTCAATCAGCTAGAAAAATCTATTTCCCTTGCAGGGGTCCACACAAAAAAGGCTAGGGTTGGCAGTTATTTCTAGGGCCAGTTGGAAAATAGTAAACACAATATTTTTTCCTAGGCCTTATCAGCATGAAAAGGATCACCATTATGGCATGGTTTTATTTTGTAACATTCTCTGACAGACTCTGACATATTTCAACTCAAATGACTCACAAAATGAAAGTCAAGGACAATTAGGAAAGAACTTGAAAGCAAGGCAAGAAAGGTCCCAGCATGGTGTAAGAATTACACACAAGCCAGCAGAAGCTGATGCACCTGAATTATGTGTAATTTTGTATCATCAGAAAATGTCAACAAATATCCCAAAACGTTCTCAGTATGGAGTAGCGAGTCCAAATAAATCCAGAAAATAGTAGAAAAATCTTCCGGTGATACATGTATTTTCTCCCTCACTGATCATGGGTAATGGTACAGAATTTTCAGTGACCATTTTCCGTCAGTATTTTGGGTATTTTTGCTCCACGAGGGTCAATATACATTGGTATACATTTGTTGTTAGGTTTGAACTCATATATGTAGATACGTGACCAGAATATATTGACTTTGAAAAATCGGGTTACCAAGCCCTAAAAACTGCATTGGATGCCTTTAAGGGGGAATCATTTTTAGTTCTGATTTTCAGCATAATTTGTGGTGAGCCAGGCATGGGTTTATAATGTATTTTATGTCTGCTGAGAGACTGATGAAAGGAATTCTTAGAAATCACAGCTCCAGTCTGCCCTGTATCACAGTCATGTTGGGAGAACCAAATTTATCATCATTTAGTAGACATTACTATAAACTTTATATGTTCACCAGGTAATGATGATAAATCTGGTTCTCCCAACATGTGATACACATCATACAGGGCAGACTGGAGCTGTTATTTCTAAGAATTCCTTCAGTCTCTGAGCAGACATCTAAACAAAATCCTCAGCTAGTTTACCACAAATGACACTGTTAACCAATAAATTAGCTGCAAATCAAAGAAAAATCCTCTATTCTACCTTTAACATATCCTCACTTTAAAAAAAAAAGTTTTTTACTCTGATTTCCAAAGCAGCCATGGGCACAATTACAGCAACGTTAAACGTAGTCATGCATTAAAAAAAATTAATTAAGACACATTGACAAGGGCACAATGGTATACACTTATCAATGGTGACTTATCATGAGGCAAAAGGCTATTGCTATTAATATCAGTATTAATATCAGTAGAATGCCATTGAAATCAGAAAAAAAAACACTTACTAGTACTAGTAACTAAATGTACTTTCCTGATTCAAATTGCAAGTGTTCCAAACACTGGATGTGCTGGTCCTTTTACGTGACAGTGGTTTGTATTGATTTATGCAGTGTAATGACATGTAATATTTTACTGTGTGATGTTGATTTAGTGTAATGCATGTGCTAGGCTTTGCCACTGGACCTTAGGATTGGCTCTTGACCCTAGAATAAGATGCATTAAACTCTTCTATTGCTGTGCACAGTGTGTTCTGACCTTCTGCCCTTTTTTCCCTGCAAGTTTTTTTTCTCTGGCTAAGCCACAGGATTACATGTATCTGCCTTAGTGTACAGTCCTGGAAAGTCTCTGAAGTTAAGTGTTTGTGACATCTGCAGCTCAAAGGTCTAACCCTGGGGTTCAGCAGATGTAATCTGATATTTTTAAGGCAGTACAACCCTGATTCTTAAAGCCCTACAAATTACAGCAAAGACTTAAAAAGGAAGGCAAGTAAACCCCAATGGTATTAACGATTATATATAGACCACATCTAAAACTGTGCTCACAAAAAAAACCGAGGGATTATAACATTTGGCATGCAGTAGTGGAAACTGAGACAAATGCTTTTTTGACTGCCCCACTTTTCTCAGCTGCCCTTACAATACATCTCCATTCAGATGAAGTGGATTTTTCCTGCTGACTAGTGTAATCTATCACGGATACCATCCACGGAATGATGTTAACAATCTGCTCATCAGATTAATCCTCATTCTATCAACATTAATTGATCAGTCTGCATTGAAAAAGGCAAGTGTTGGCCTCTTGATAGGTACATGTAGTACAGACTAGATTAGTTTGGTTTTAGGATTGGAACAGAAATAGCGCTAGATTAAAATATCAAAAATAGGGAAACAGAGTCATCCCAGAAATACTGACCCCAGCCACAAAGATGACCCTTGAGGCAAATATGTATCATTATGTGTCTACATTGCCACCCCAATGACTAGAACAGGGACTACATGTAGGTTGGTAGGTAGTTGACGACGGCAGAATGTACTCACTTGTGCAAAACCCTGGGGTTTCTCATGGTTTTATAGATGTGTGGTCAACTGGCTAAGGTTGCCTTAGATTTTTCCCATTACAGAGGATATCTTTTCCTATATAAGATTTGAAAACTATAGACAGGATGTCATCCTTAAATATGAGCGTATGACCTTATTAAAAGAGACATTCTGCCAGAGTGCTAAGAAACATAACGGGTTTTGCACAGATAAAGTATGTTCTACCAACATGCTGGCAAGTATGTAACACATGATACAGGCAGGCCTGAAACATCACCCACCCACCTGGTGACCCTGAAAACACGGTAAAGGGTGGAACGACGGTCTCCGGGGGCAACACGGTATTGGGAGCGATGGCGCTACAATCTTTTAGTACACAACGACGACCCTGAAAGAAACCGGAGAGAATATTGTCAGTATTAACCTACAGCCTGCTAAAGGCAGCCAAACGCGTATTGGATAGGCAGCAGCAAGAAGGTTATTACATGTAAACAATGCAGAAATTTTGAGTTACTGTACATTATATTTGCTGGTAGGTTGTTTGAGTCATGATGTATCTGGGTGCATACAACACTATATACCATATAAAGGAAGAAGACTTCATTTTATAAAACTAGTAAGTCATTATCCCATGAATAGTTTCGTGAGGTTGGTAAGTCACTGAGTAAAGAGACTCTTTTTACTCAGCGTATAAGTGTTTTATTCACGGACATTGGTTACGTTTTGGTGACCGTCTGTCGCCTCTCTCAGGGTAATTCTGACTGGTTTACATAATAATGCACTACTTCAGCACAGTCAGAATTGCCCTGAGGAAGGTGACAGACGGTCACCGAAACGTCGGCTGTGAATAAAACACTTGGTTGTGTAAAAAGAGTCTATTTACTTAGTAAAAGTCATGTTCAACTTGATATCTGCCTGGATGTCAAGAAGAATAGCAAAAACCAGAACAGTGTTGATCAATGGATGTGATCCCTGAAACTGATATAATCCGGCCCTACAGACAATCCCCAGACAGTTACAGCACTCTGTTACAAAATCCCCAGACACAATATGGAGCAGACTCTCTCTCTAAGTTCTAACAGAGTCAGACAGATTGACAATCACTCAGACTTTAGTTAAATGTACAGACAAGACCTCAGGCATGAATGTTTCCGAGAAAGGTTCGCTATTGAACCTGACATCATGGTGGTTGATTTTGCAACGGCTTATTTTCATGACAAATGTGCTCATTTCTTTGACGCCCCTCATGACATATGGTCCTATTTTGCTGTAGATGTTCCCTAGGGGTCCAAAGTGACTTCTCAATTGGCAGCAACTCCATATTGACATCGTCGTGCATCATTTCCCCGATTTACCAGATGGAGGAAAACAAGTAAAAATAGAAGCAAGAAAAGTCATCTTATAAAATCATGTTTGTGTAATCTATGGAACAGCAGACTGTCTAGCTGCAGGGTCACTATTAAGGCCAAAACAGTTTAATTGGTTGGTTCTTGGATTCTGAAGATCAACATGCATGAAGTTGGAGTATAAGGACAAAGCCTGTACACACAGTTTTAAGGAACAGGGCTCGAAATACTGGATGCATCTGCACCTTAGTGCAGCCAAAATTGGAGCTGTGCATCCAATTTTTTCTGTAGGTGCACTGGTTCACTCAGATATTTTTGTAAGTATTTTTGTACATATCGAAATAGTATGCAGGATATTCTTGGCATCTAAGTGTCAGAAAAATGATAAAGTCTTTCTTGTAGTAGTAAGCTTAAGTACTTCTTTAAGATTTGAAGTTAGCTCCCATTTCAGATTCAAGCTCAGAAGAGGAGCAGTAAGATCTGTAATTAGGTTTTGTTTAATTTGGTGCACCCCCCAAAAATTTTGAGCACCTAATTTTTTTAGGTTGGGTGCACCAGTGCACCTATTCCCCAAAATAAATTTCGAGCCCTGATGAATGAATTCAATGTAGCTGCTGGTTTTCCTTCTAGCCCTCTGTTGTCATCATGTCATCTTTAGTTGGTAAAACTAATTGAGAATGCAGGAAATAAATTAGAGTAGCCTTCAGAGAAACAGACAGTCCGCAGTGCAACACAAATCCCTCAGTACAATCAGCATTACTGCTACCCATCCATAAGGCTAGACCAATTAGTAGTCTTCTTTGGTTCTCTGACACTTTTAACAAACCAAGAGGTCAAGATGAAAAACAGCCTCAGGGCTGGATGGAAAACTTGAACCTGAGGCCCAGAAAAAAAATGTATATATATGTTTCCTGTTTCAGTTTTGAAAAACTTATGGTAGGTACACTGTAGGTTTTCTTTCTTTCTTTTTTTATTTATCAGACTTTGGCAATCTCTAGTTATGCAACTTATACAATGCAGTTTAACAGAGTAAAACTTGCACGAGGACACTTATATTTTCAATGTCAATGTTGGAAAACAATGTAACAGTGGAACAATGTTTCAGGTGTCAGATCAGAGAGCTAGAAATGGTCAATCAGCTACAAAAAAATAAAAGGCTAGGGTCAGCAGCTTTTTCTAGGGTCGGTTTGGAAACAGGAAACACAACATTTTGTTTCAAAGGACAGATTCCTCCCTAGACTCTGTTTTCTTTCAGTTCGTCAATATTGTTTTACATGTACATGAATTGTATAAGACTGAAAACCAAGAAATAACATTGATGAGGCCCAAAGTCAAGTTTGAATTGGATTGTTGGGAAGAGCAGACAGTCTGAAGTTCACCGCCAAAACCCCAGAGACGATCAGCCAGTCCATAACAAAGACAGATGTTTCCACAATAACTACCGCTATCATTTAAAGGTACAGACAAGACCTGGGGCTGAGCATAATTGTCCAGGTTCCCCCAGAATCAGACTTGGAGGTGCCGTGGATCCATCTAAGATGCGCCGAGGACAAGAAGATAAGGTCATTATTCTTAAAGGATGACAGGAAGATGGATGAAGGAGAAATCATTACCACAGAAGATGTCTTAAGCAACAGTGTAACCGATCTATAGGTGAATATGTCTACATGCTGAGTTAAAAAGGACAGGAGCTCAGGAACTGAATACAATGTGGACATCCTTTTCCTATAAATTGATGCAGACCAGTTGCCTGAACTTTAAAAATACTTCAAGTTCAAGAATAGAATCCTCAAAACATTCAGGAGATTGACACAGAAGCCCTTAAATCAAGTCAAAGATTAACTAAGTAATATATTATGTTATCTTTAAGATTGGTTCATGAATATGACATTTACTGATGTATTGACTTAAACTCTTGCTAGTTGCCTATCAAAGTTTTTAATGACATGAGATATTCACACTTAGGTACATTTGTCAAAAAGTTTAGAATTTAGAGTTTTAACTTTTGTACGTGCAACTCCCTTAAAATTTGAAAATGTTGTTACTAGTGTAGATATGTGATACAGGCCACAGTGATTCCCTCCCATTCAGCTGACAAAGTTGTGAGCTTAAGACTGCCCCAAAGTTCAAGCACTTAAACTTCACCACTTTCCCGGCTGTCAGAGGAGAAATCTCTGTCATTGATCACATGGAAACAACCTCAGATCCTCCGGCTTTAACTCCGTTCCTCCGGGGTTCAACACAGTCAGACATTCCTTTTCCTAAATCCCATCAACACTCACCATTTTCCCGGAAATCCCTTTAGCACAGCTGGACATTGTTCCCGGAAAATGTATTAAACACAGCTAGACTTCTTCCAAAAATATTTCTTCCACACTGCCAGACACTCATTGTTTTCAAAAATCCAATCAACAATCTTCCCAGGAAATCCCTTCAACACAGCCGGACATTCCCCTTAGAAAATATGTTTTGTAGCTAGTGTGTGTACTGACCTAAATTGTACGCTACATGTACAGTGTAACAAGTACCATCTTCTGTACCAAAACTCAATACAAACACTCCAACAGACGTGTACATTACCATTCAGGACAACATTTTCAAGAACAACATGGCGTTGTCATTGTTCCGGGAGAAATATCCTCAATATACTGGAAACAAATACTATTTAAAAAAGCATGAAAGATAGTATGCAAATGACGTGTACAAAGTAGGTAACACTTTTATTGAACACACTGAACTTTGAAGTAAACAAAAAAGCAAATTATCATAGCCTTCCTGCCATCTTTCTGAAAAAAAGGATCAGAAAACATCTGGCAGTGACAGTGTGTAAGCGTCATATATGCAATATCCACAGAATAAAAGTTTTAGTTTCTCGATGCATAATCAGATAGATCTGCTGGGGATGACTTACAATGACGCTGTTCCTTCCTATGTGTACGTAGGAGCCGATCTGTGCTGCGTTGACCACACAGTCCTCCTCAATAAACACATGGTCCCCGATGTGCAGAGGGAAGAACGCAACTCTGCAACAGAAAATAGAGAACTGCATGTAGGATGGCAACAGTTACGAGAACAATAAGATTTTCTTGACACAACTTCTGAATCAGTAGAACTTACCTGCAAATGTTTTGCTGCCTTCATCAAGCAGTGGTAGAAATACTTTTTTTCAGTGTTCTGCAATATTGCAGAATGTCAAAAGTTTGCAATTCGGAAATACTTTCTGCAAATACACCCTAATAGAAGTCCGGATCTAAACCTATGGTATATGCAAAACTGCATGTTGGCAAACATTTTACATGCAATTTGAAAAATACATGCAAAACCAGTAGTATATCATAGACTCAGCAGTAAACACAAAAGCTCTTAAACACCATTGAACCCCTAGCCTGATTTTTCCAGTCTGCAGGGGTCGCTTTAATTTTTCTTCTGCGGTATTGAAAATGTCTCTGCAAAATGCAGACTGCAGATGGGTATTTCAAACACTGTCAAGGCTTATTGGACTATTCGTGCATGATGTGAGTCTTTATTGATGTGGCATCATGGAACAGATTCTAAACTGCAACTTTTAATACTGGATAGATTTTCTGGAGCAATTTTCTATGGTTCTTGTTATGGGTTCACCACACCACGAAGTGGTGTGTGGTGAACCCATATTGCTTTTTCTGGTGTTTCTTCTCCTTCTTCTCCTGCCATTTTTTAAATGGATTCAGCTTCTTCATTTTAGGGCCTAAGGTCCTGAAATTTGGTATGGAGGTACAGTGGGCAAATACCCCTAGGCATTTTTTAAATTTATGTGATACGGGCTTTTAGAATGGTTTTATTTGAGTTTTTTGGCTGTGTTATAGTGTAAGGGTATGTCAAGGTCAAAGACGAAGACATGGTAGCGTAGTGACCTCGGTCTCGATGGGTGACCCTTACAAGTTCGTAAGATGGCTGCCGATGTTGTAGATGTACGTACCCGGAACAAATGACACAGGAGCCAGAGCTACATAGTGACGTGACTGTATTCTCTTCTCTCTCAAACGGGAACTCTGCTGAACTGTCCTAACTACAAGAGTACTCGGGCTTTTATATAGTTTGCCCGCCTACACACAGGTTTCTTGGAACAAGTTGGATTCTTTGTATATCAGTCATCGTGAGTCATATCCTCTCCCTTTCTTAAGACGTTACTGGTCAGCCCCTTGTATCCCCAAATATGGTTATGGTCAAGCAGTCGGGCT